ATATTCACAACAGTAAGTGGGATAGTACTATGTTTAAATGCACATAGCTTAAAGATTCTGGGCCCCACAGTGGCCTAGGGATTAGGCCTCAGTTCTATCACCTTAGTAGGACATAGCCCACCCCCAGCCAGGGGGCCGATCCACATGGTGCAGTAGACCTCTCCTGTCCACTGCTCCCCTCAGTAGTGCATTTCAGTGGTTCTACCTGTTCTGTTCCCCATTCTGTCTCTGGTGACTCCTCTCACACCTCTTTGGCCTATGCTCCATTTCTACAAAATAAATATAATTTTAAAATAAGTACTGGATTTCCCCTGGTAGTGCAGCAGGTTAAAGGTACGGCACTAAGAAGCTATCTGCAGTCACTGTAGCATGAGTTCAGTCCCCAGCCAGTGAGGTGACCACATGGCATGGCAGACTTTTGCCTCCCTGCTGTACCCCTCAGCAGTGTACTTTTGGCCTGCTCTGCTCCCCAGTGTACAATTGGCCTGCTCTGCTCCCCAGTCTGTCGTTGGTGAATCCTCTCACCCCCCACAACTCTAGCCTGTACTCCAATTCTGTATGCATAAATAAGTAAAACTTTAAAAAGAAAATAAGTACTTTTTCACTAATAAATGGTAACTACCTCATCTGAGCTGTTGGAAAGATGGCTCCGATAGATTTGCTGGTCTCAGGGCAACCAGTGTCTTCAGTTTGTAAAGTGTGCAGTATCAGTGAGGTGCAATAAAACTGGGTATACTTGTACCCAAATAACCTGCTTGTCTGGCTCAACCTGAGAATGGACTTTCATGAATCAAGTCAGCCCCTCGATCACTGAAAGCTGCCCTACGGTCTAGTCATTGACTGCTGGTGAATGGAGAGAGCTGCAGCCTTCAAAATCAGTCACACACTTGAATGCAAAATGAACAAGGAAAAATAGTTTTGGAAACTCTAAGGCAAGGTAAATGGGTTTTAGAAACACTTGGGGACTTGCATCTTCTTGGGTTTTTGAGTTGAATAAACCAAATTGAAGCCGAAACCACTCCATTTTATAAATCCATTAAGTTTTATGTATTGGGAGGGGGGCATCAAAACCAACTTTAAAGAAACATTGCTTTTTGCTGGCTCTGGGAAGTCTGTTTAAAGCCATGGGGCCTCCCTCCAAGGGGCCCAACACCAAAATAAAGAGGAAAGGAAAGGGTAGCCGGCAGAAAGAGAAAGCTAGAGGAGAATGTGTACAGACAGACCAAGCTGATTGTACATGAGGGTTAAGCTATTTTTTTAAAAAAGATTTATTTAGGGCCCTCCCTGGTGGCGTAGCAGGTTAAAGCACAGCGCTGAGAAGCTAAAGCCACTTCCGCATGAATTCGATTCCCGCCTGCCCCGGAGGTGACCACATGGCCCGGCAGACCTCTCCTGACCCGCCCGCTGCTCCCCTCAGCAGTGTACTTCGTCGATCTGCCTGTTCTGCTCCCCACTCTGTCTCTGGTGAAGCCTCTCACCACCCCTGAGCCTCTGGCCTGCACCCCAGTTCTGTATGCATAAATAAATAAAAACTTTAAAAAAAAATAAAAAAAGATTTATTTATGCACACAAGAACTGGGGTACAACCAGAGGTATGGGGGTGAGAGGATTCACTAGAGACAGTAGGGAGTAGAACAGACAGATCTACTGAAGTTGAAAAACCCTGCTTCTGACTCTTCAGCTCTTCTGCTGGGGAAGTTGCTCAGCCTCCCAGTTGGGGGAAGAACCCCGCCCAAAGGCTCTCTGCTCACCAGAGCTCCTGCGCCTGGCAAGGGGCAACCCCTTTCTGGCAAGTGTTGTCTTGGAAAGTTGCCTCTGGGCACTGGCAAAGCTGGAATTGGGAATGATTCTCCAGGCCACAGTCGGCAAAAATCTTTCTCATTGAAAAGTTTTGATGTTTTTTTCATTATAGAAGAAATTATTTAATGTAAAAAGAAAGCAACATAATAGAAATTGCACAAAGTTAGAGCCTCCTATATGTAACTCAGAGGTTTTGAGCGTGGAGTGTGTTCTAGGTTGTTTTTTTTTTTTTAAATATTTATTTCTGCATACAAGAGCTGAGTTGTAGGGGATGAAAGGATTCACCAGAGACAGAGCTGGGAGCAGAACAGGTGGACTGACTATGAAATACCCTGTTGAGGGGAACAGTGGGCGAGACAAGAGAGGTCTGCTGTGCCATGTGGGTCAGTTCCTTGCCAGAAATCGAACTTGTGGAACTTGTGCTGCATCTGCAGATAGCTTCATAGTGCTGTGCTTTAACCCCTTGCGCCACCAGGGAAGGACTGAGGGTTGAGCTATTTTAATCAATCCAGGCATCTACAATGATTGGTTAAAGCTCAATGTGCATCTGCTTTGGAGTTCAGGGTTCTGAACTGATATCTGATATCTGGGGCAATAGTCCTCAGACCCTGCATTTGTGCTGCAAGGAAATAAAACGCCCCCCTGAGAAACCTAGCATAGTGTGCAGACCGTAGATTTGACACGATTGTGTTCTTCCCTCTTCCAGGGGAACATCAGAACAAAGTAATAGAGACTGCAAAGGCTACAGGCCATTCTCTGGTCTGAGCCCTTCTTTTTTTTTAGATTTTATTTATTTATGCATACAATAACTGGGGTGCAGTCCAGAGATGGGGGGAGGTGAGAGGATTCACCAGAGACAGAGTGGGGAACAGAACAGACGGGTCTACAGAAATGCACTGCTGAGGGGAGCAGCAGGTGGGTCAGCCATGTGGGTCACTCCCTAGCCGGGATGGAACTCCTGCTGCAGTGGCTGAGGACAGATTCATAGTGCCCCACTGCAACTCATTGTGCCACCTGGTAGGGCTCCGTGAGCCCTTCTTTACAGCTTCCCCAGGCCCTGAGCAGGAGACAGTCACTTCCAGGAGCGTCTGGCTCCTTTTCTACAATACTTTGGGACCTTGATAATAGTCATCATTCACCTCTAAATCTGTTGCATTTGTCAGGGAGAGGTGCATGTATATGTGTATGTGTGCTTGTGGGAGAGGGTAAAGAAGGATGGAGACTACTTGAGTTTTCTCCATGAAAAAATTATTCTAAAAGAAAATAACCTGGGGCCTCCCTGGTGGCACAGAGGTTGTCTCAGCACTATGAAGCTCTTCACAGCCACTGCAGCAAAAGTTGGATCCCCAGCTGGAAACTGACCTACATGGCTTGGCAGAACCCGCCTGCTGCTCCCCTCAGCAGCGGATTTCAGTAGCTCTTTTAAAAAAAAAGATTTATTTATTCATGCATACAAGAGCTGTGGTATACAGCCAGAAGTGCAGGAGTTGAGAGGACTCACCAGACACAAAGTGGGGAGCTACTCAGATACACTGCTGAGGGGGACAGTAGGCTGGTGAGGAGAGGTCTGACATACCATGTGGGTCACCTCCCTGGCTAGGGATCTAACTTGTGCTACAGTGGCTGTGGATAGCTTCATAGTGCTGAGACTTAACTCCCTATACAATCAGGGAGGCCCCTATAAAAATAAACCTTAAAAAATAGGATAGCAAGCATGTGGACTTGGAATCAGGTAGACTGGATACAAATCTTGTGTCACCACTGACTCTTATCCCATTTGTAAAATTGGAGGTAGGACCAGAATAATCCAGAAGATTCCAGATCCTTGAGTAGGGTGGCCAAACAAAGCAAATGAAAATACACTCAGGTACACTTAAATTTCAGATAAACAATGCATTTTGTAGTGTGACATGGCACGTAAGTCTTAAAATACAGTCACTGTTTATCTGGAATTGACTTAATAGGGCAGCCTGCAATTTAGTTAACTACTTGAATCTCCTGTCGCTTAACATTCTAAACACAATTCAGTCATCATAGTCCTTTAGGCCCAAATGTTCTGTCCACCACTGAACAAGTCCAGTCAATTCATCCATAACTGAGGGGGTTAGAGGCCAAAGCATTCTCTGTGGGAAAAGCTCCCTTGAGGATATTGCCCTCACTCTATGGCCCCTGCCTTGGAGCACAGGGGTGGGAGGTGGGGTGGGCTCAGCCAGGAGAGGGCTTTTCCAGACAGGTGGCAGCAGGTTGGAGACTTGCATCAACTGGACCAGCCGCCCACTTGGCCGAGCACTCTGAGCCTTGAGCCTCTCATCCATGTATAGCAAGGTGGGATGCAGCAGCTATGTGACCTTGGGTAAGTCATTCCATCCAAAGAGCCAGTGCAGGGCCCTCCCTGGTGGCGCAATGGTTTTAGATACAGTACCACAAGGTAGCTGCAGCCGCTTCGCTGCAAGGTGGGTCCCTGCCCAGGTGACCCACATGGCACAGCAGACCTCTCCGGTCTCATAGCCCGCTCCCCTCAGCAGTGTGCTTCGTGGATCTGCCTGTTCTGCTCCCACTCTGTCTCTGGCGACTCCTCTCACCGCCCCTGCACCTCTGGTCTGTACCCCAGTTATGTATGCATAAATAAATTTTTTAAAAAAGAAAAAGTAGGGCCCTCCCTGGTGGCGCAGCGGGTGAAAGCACAGCACTGAGAAGCTAAAGCCGCTTCCTCATGAGTTCGATCCCAGCCTGCCCCGGGGGTGACCACATGGTGCAGCAGACCTCTCCTGACCGGCCCGCTGCTCCCCTCAGCAGTGTACTTCATCGATCTGTCTGTTCTACACCCCACTCTGTCTCTGGTGAATCCTCTCACCCTCCGCATCTCTGGCCTGTACCCCAGTTCTGTACGAATAAATAAATAAATCTTTAAAAAAAAAAAAAAGAAAAAGTAACTTAAATTAAAAAAAAAGAGAGAGAGATAATGCAGCATAACGACGCTGGGCCCGTGCTGGGCAGAGTCAGGAGGAGGTGAGGTAAAGGTTGAGGTTAGCACAATTTTCATGGATCCTTTGAATACCTATTTAGAGTGTGGGTAGGATATGGAGACCCCTAGAAGAGAGGGTGGGGTGGAGTGACACACCAGAACCTAGACTGAGCTTCCACTCAAATCTGCCATAACCCCCAGGTCTGACAAAGTTGGCACACAAATGACCCACAAACAAATAACTTTAATTTTTTTCCCCTTGAGCAGGAGCCGAGCCTTGGGGGCCCCTGCCCAGCCACGTGCCACATTTATGATAACCCATCACAGCTGGATTTAAAAAATACACAAAAAATATATAATATACATTATAAAACCTAGGTTGGGATTGGAGGTGGCCTGAGCGATATGCAAACTGTGAGGACCTTCAGGAAGCTCAGGGTGAGGCAGGGTGGGTGGGGAAGGGAGCAGGGAAAGGAAGGGGCACAGTACTTCATATGAAACTCATAAATATCCAGAGGCAGCTGGGGGGGGGGCAGGCCGAGCCGTCGAGGGGCCTGGGTGTCGGGAAGGATAACCTTCAGCACCAGAATTGGGTGCGCGGGGCTGCCGCTTCAGCCAGGGAAACCCAGTGGGCACTGTTCTCTCGGGCTGGGGCAAGGTCTTCCTCCCTGACCATCTGGCCTATTTTTGAGTTGAGGTCTGCCCCAGGGCCTCCTCCCATCAGGAGGGGTCTGGGTGGCCTGGCACCCAATCTGGACCCCTGAGGCCTCTGGCTGGACTACAGGTAGACAGAGGGTGCCAACTAGGTACCGAGTACCTGCCTGGTAGAAACAGCTACTCCCCAGTGTCGGGGTCCCCAGCCAGCTGGCCCCAAGAAAGCTCTGCTCTTCACTGCATCATGCTGTCTCTGTTCCAGCCCTCTCCCGGGAGTTAGCTGGGACCAGCCCCCACTCGAGGGAGTTAGCAAAAACCTGGGCCCTGAGTGAGAACTCCAGCTCCACCCACCCCTCCCTCAGGTCCCTCAACTTCCTGGAGCTTCAGCACCTCATCTGAGACACTAAGACCCACACTTGCTCTGTGAGATTTGAGGGTGGTAAGAGGCATGGAGGGGAGTGACACCAGGCCTGGCACACAGTAGGTGCAAAGGAAGTGTGGGCCCCTCAACTCAACCTCAACTTGAGCTTTTCTTCTGGGGGGGTTCTCTGAATTCTGACTCCCTCAGTTTCCATCCTACCTCCACCCATCCATCACACACCCCTAAGGGGCCTGTGGCCACCCGCTCTAGAGCCAGAAGTTGTCCTCCCATCTGGTCATGGCTGGGCAGAGCTGGGTGGGGCTGCTTCCTTGCCCTAGGCAGCCTACCCCACCGCTGAGGCCTCCTCTCCTCTCCCACAAATAAAGCGCAGAACAGTGGCAGGGAGTGTGTGTGCTGGGGGTAGGTGGGGAGGCCTCCTGGGTCCTGGGCCTGAGGCCTGGCAGGCAGATGAGTCCTCCATCCTGGACCCCTGGGGGTACCAGGCAGGTGTGTGGAAAAGATGCTCATCCTGGATCCTGGTGGTGGGGGCAGAGGGCGCCCTAGTCTTTGACCAGCTTGTAGACATGGTGCTGGGCCCCATGCTCACTGGTGGAGACTTCGAAGACGAAAGCGATGACGAGGAGGGTCTCCTGGGAGTCCCGGCTTGTAACCACCTGGGGGTTGGGTAGGAACACAGGGAGGTCAGCGCGCACGGCGGGCAGGGCACTGAGCAGCCCCTTCTTGCTGGCCTGTCTCCTCTGAGCTGTGAGTCTGGCCCCGTTAGGGGGCCCCGCAGGGAGGCCCCATGCTGGGGCAGGGGTGGGGTGCGGGTGGTCTGAAGGCCTGCTGCCCCCCACCTGCAGGATGGTGAAGTTCTCCAGGACACTGTTCATCATGTACTTCTCGGGCAGGTGCTTCAGCTTGTGGATGAAGTTGATCATGTACTCGCACATGGGTGAGCGGTGGATGCGGTACACAAAGCGCCCGTTCTCCAGCCTGGCGTACTCGGTCTGCGGGGCCAGGCGGGCGTCAGCGCACGCGCCTGCTCCGGCCCGCCGCCGCCCGCCGGCCCTCACTCACCTCCACCTTCTCCACCACCTGCTTGCCGAAGGAGCACACCTTGGTGGAGACGCTGATGGTCATGCTGTCCGCCGAGCTGTACTGGGAGCTGACTCCATAGAAGGCGCCGGGGCCCTCTTGGATGGTGCTGTTGAGGTCGGCCTGGGGTGTCAGGGGTGGGGCTTAGGTGCGGCCAGAAGCCAGAGCCAGACTTTCTCTTACATCACGTCAGCGTCCGACCCAAGCACCCGTCTGGCACTCTGCCGCGGGCCGTAGGGAGGATGTGGGGTCAGGGCTCAGTGGGGTGTGCCTCTGGGGGGAGGCTTGGGGGGCAGGGAGGGCCCCGGGCAGCTCACCCAGAACTTGACCAGGAAGAAGGCGTTAGGGGGCCCCTTCTCATAGAGCTCCTTCAGGCCACCCTTTTTCTCTGGGAACTTGTCATAGATCTGCCGCACGTCAACTGCCTCGAGCGGCGGGTCTGAGAAGGCGGGGTTCGTCTGGCCGATGTGCACAAAGAGGTGTTTGCTGTACTGTGGGGAGGGCCCAGGACAGGGTCAGGAGGGTGCCAGCTGTGCTGGCCGGCGTTGCTGCCCAGGGCCAGGGCAGCTTGGGGTTTGCTAGCCCCACAGCCGGACTAGGACCACCTACCCGCCCCCGCTCCCCCAGGCTCCGTGGCCGAGCAACCGGCCCCACCCCACGTTACCGTGTCAGGGTCTCGCTGCACCTCCATGAAGGCGGAATACTCCAGGAGGCGCAGCCGGGAGGAGGCGATGGTGCGGTCCTGCCACACGGGCACGGAGGCGGCAGCTGAGGGGAGCGGGGCCAGGGGCTCGTAACCTGGGAGGAGGAGACGGCGTCTACATGGGCATGTGTGGCTACAAGCGCTGCCCCCCTGCTGGGGCCTTCGCGCAGCTCAGAGGAGCGCCCCCTGATGGCAGGAGGGGGGCTGGCTCTAGACTCCCCTGCCAGGGATTCACGGTCAGTGTCCAACCTGGATCCCAAGGCCAAGTCGTACAGGCCTCCCCGAGTTTCCCTACGTCACTCTCTCCATGTGTTCCGTAGAAAATGCAGAGAAGCACAAAGGCAGAGAAGAAAAATTAAAGAGTGCTGCCCCCCAGAAAGTATGTTCTATAAGATGAAATCTGTTAAGCTTCTGCTGCATTTTCTTGTAGGGAATTTTCTAAGCACTCAGCCCTATCGGTGCAATACCTTTGGTGGTGTGTACTTGTAGCAGCGTTCTGGAAAAGAGCTGGCAAAGAGCTTATTCCCTGCAGTCCCATCTACACACCCACAGCACTCGCTCACTCACTCACACATGCACACACGGGCCACGAGGCGCAGGGCCGGGAGGGAGCGGTGGGGGTGGTGGTGGGTACTTACTGCTGAGTGCTGGTGGCAGGGGCGGCTGGATGGGGTAGGCTGGCTGTGCAAAGGGCTTGATGCTGCAGACAAGAGTACAGCCTGGTTGGGGACCCCCTTCAGCACCTTCCCCGGCTCTGTCACTTTGGGCCTCGGGGGGACCCTAATGGGCAGCCAGCCCCTGAGACTTTCTCCAGAGGCCCAGAAATGCATGCTGACACGCTAACTCTCGAGCTTTTCGTTTTCGCCGCATTTTAACTTTTATCCTGCTGCATCTCACAGCTGATGTGCACATTTAATGTGGCATTTCAACCCCACCCCGGAGTTGTTCATTAAGCGGAAGGTGTGCTTACATGAAAGTCATCTGAGAATGGAAGGAACCACCTGTACTTGACTACCTGACTTGTTGACTGAGAGATTGACTCAGGAATTAACTGAGTGGAAAATAAACGCAGGGCGGATGACAGGTAGATGAGTGGGCTGATGAATGAATAAACACGCGAATGAACAGACACATGCGTTAGCTCTTACGGCACTCTCATGCCTGTTTTTGAATTAAAACTATGCTGAGCTCCTGCCGGAAAGCACATGGAGGGGGACGGCCTGCATGGCTGCCAGGGGCGAGCAGAGGTGTGGGGGTGTGGGGACGAGGCACCGAAATACTCACTCCTGAGAGGGTCCAGGCTGCTGTCCCAGGAGAGGGGGGCTGCTCCAGAACTGCAGAGATGGCACAAAGCCCAAGGGCCCCTCAATGCCCACGATCCCCCCGCGGCACTCCCTCACCCCAGTGCCACCTCCCTGGTTCCCTGTACCCGTGAGGAGGTGGAGAAGACGGCCTGCGGCAGAGGGGAGGGTGGGCTGAACTTGTTCTGTAGGACGCTGGCAGAGACGATCTGGGCAGAGGACATGGACGCCATGCTCTGGAGGGCTTTGTCCTTGGACACCTGGTCCTGTGGGCGGCAGGGGCCAGGTAAGGCTGGGGCCAGGCAGACACGGGACCCCCCGCCCCGGCCCTCGGGGCTCCGCACTCCGGTCTGGATTCTAGCACGCTCCCTGGCTGGGTGCAGGACCCTCTGTCTTGCGGGAGGACTCCCAGTCAGCTGCTTTTATTCCCTAACCCAGTACATCTCGTGTGTCATGCACTCTCCCGTTTTCTGCCCCGTTTCCTTGGAGGGCTTCAACTAAGGTCCATGGACCAACAGCACAGCTTCACCTGGAAGCTTACGAGATGCAAACTCAGGCCCAGCCTGACTCTGAGCCCCTGCGGTGAGGCTCTCCAGGTGATCCTGGCGCTCAAGTTTGAGAACCACATATTTCACGTTTTCAAAATGCTGTTTACAGCCTTATTAAACTGATGTCACAACCCATGTTTTGAAAATCCTGTATTAGGTGCTTTCCCACCATCTCCTTTCCAGACCCGGGCCTCCCCCTATTTTTGCCAGAGGAGGGCAGTGCTACTTACCAGGTTCATGGCCTGTGAAGAAGAGGGAGGAGGGTTAGAAGAGCTGCAACCAGGGCTACTTAGGGTGGGGGACAGCTTTCCATGCCCCTCCCCTCCTGCCTACTGGGCTTGCAGACAAAGAGGCCAGGAAAGCTCAGAGGCAGATGTGGGCCCTCACCCTGCTCCCCACTCCCACCCAGAGGGAATGGGGCTGAGCCTTTCCAGAGCCATCGAGGGCTGTCCGGAAAGGGTAGGGCAAGGAAGCACAGGCTGGACGGTGGACCAAGATGCTGCCCTGGATGAGCCCACGTTCTCTGGGGCTGTGCTACAGGTATGGGGTACTAGGCAAGGACAAGGCCATGCAGCCCTCAAGGGGCTCTGACAGAGGCCCAGGCCATGAACCCCAAGTTCTGAGATCCACAACTGTAGCCTCGCCAAGACTGAAAGTGGGATGCAAGGAATTGCCACGCCCACCCCACAGCTCTGCCAGCCAGCACCCCCCAGTGTCTCCTCCCTGCCCACCTGGAGTCCCAAGCAATCAGCAAGCAGCACTTAGGAAGAAGGAGAAAAAGGAAATCGGAGAAGAGGGCACCAGGCTCTTGCTCCCCTTCATTACAGGGCTGGCTGAGCCCTCTGCCTTCTGCTTCATCTGCAGGGCGTGGCCTGCGTGACCTGGAGTGTGCGCTGGGTTCCTTGCTGCTCGGGGCTTTCTAAGCCAGCCCTACCCCCAGCAGCCCCCATTGCCATACCCTCAGCCCTCCTAGTAGCAGGTCTGGGCCTAGGAGGAGCTGGGCAGGGTCAGGCCGAGTGGCAGGGAACCCCATACCTTCAACTTGGACTGAATCTCCCGAGATTTCCGCCTGGCTAGAACCTGCAAATGGCTAGAGACCTGGAGAGAGAGAGAGAGAGAGAAAGAGTAGAAAGAGCAGAGGAGGCGAGAACAGAGCTTGAAGAGTGCGAAGAAAGTCACAGGGGGGCCAGAGAGCGGCCAAGGCAGAGGCCTGAGCTGCGCAGAGATAGCAGTGGCGGCGCTGTGGGTGGGGGGCTGAGGAGGGGCTGGAGGCCCCAGTCAGGCACCCGACATACCTTGATGCCAACCTGGTACTCCCGCACCTTCTTCCGAGCTAGAACCTGTATGTGGCTGGACACCTAGGGGCCGCCCCGCGCCCCGCCACAGAGGAAAACATAGACAGTGAGGAGGCACGGCGTGGGCGCCACGGACCAGGGGAGGCTCAGCCCTCATCGCTGGGACCAAACGTAAGGGGACCCGCAACCTCTGTGGGAAGACACCCCTTGCTCCTGCCGGTTCGCCCTCTTTGGGCCCTTTTTTTTTTTTTTTTTAAGATTTATTTATTCATGCATATAAGAACTGAGGTACAGGCCAGGGGTGCAGGGGGTGATAGGGTTCACTGAGACAGAGTGGGGAAGTGAGGAGCAGGACAGGCAGACTGACTGAAATAAACTACTGCGGGGAGCAGCGGCGGGTCAGGAGAGGTCTGCAGGGCCAGGTGGGTCAGCTCCAGGTGGGTCAGCTCCTGGGGGCCGGGGTGGGGGTGGGGGGCTCAGAACGTGCTAATGCTGCAGTGGCTGCAGATAACTTCACAGAGCTGCGCTTTAACCCCTTGCGCCACCAAGGAGGCCCCTTTGGCCCTGTCTCGATCAAGACTCTACAGTGGCTTCCAGGACTACCCTGGACAGCTGTGTAGGTGGTTCACTGCACAGGAGCACCTGGCCTAGCATGGGCTGAACCCCACGCTCAGCTCATGGCTAGGCCATGTGCCCCAGTTCAGGGCTGTATCCAGCCAGTAGAAGGGTCTCTTGATTTTTCAAAAAGGAGCCACTTTCCCTCACTCGTGAGGAGATGCCGTGCTATAACCACAGAGGGCCACAACGCCTGTGCTGGTCATCGGATTATACAGCGGGGCCGCAGCTTGCTCAAAAGCTCTTCCCCTGAACTGCCCCTCAAGTCGTCCTCAACAATTTGCCCACCTGAAAAAACAAGTCTACTCCTATTCCCACGTTGCTCATACGGCTTCTCCCTTAACACGCCTCACTTCTCCTTGACTCGAATCTGTGTATAGACACCCCCAGTGGGTGCTTAGCAGTGTGCTCCTTCTCCAGCACCCCCTCCCTGAAGCCTTCCTTTCCTGGCAACCCTGAGTTACTCATGACCTGGATGTGTGTGTCCCTGTGATGGTGTCAAGGATCTGACCCGAGTCTCAGAGAATCCACAGGCTACTGTTTCCCCTATGAAACTCAACCAAATGCCTCTAGGGTGCTCCAGACTTTCACACAGCTGTTGGCTTTTCTTGAAAGTTTCCCACAAGAAAACAGTTTTTCTTTTTAATCAAAGCCTGAAAAAGTCCTGTATGCAATGCTGGGCAGCCCCATACTACTGGTTAGGACTTGGGGGTGCTTCTTACCTTCCTCCTCACCCACAGGAACATCAAGGAAACCACTGACCACTTTTTGTCTTGATAATAACTGGCCTTGACAGAGCCCAGCTGTTACCGTTCTCAGCACCGTACACACACACACTCCTCTGGTCTTTACAGTGACTCTAAGAATTGTCATTATCCCAGATTTACAGATGACCAAATCAGAGCACAGAGAGGGTAAGCAGCTTGCCCAAAGTCACACAGCTGGATCTAACTCTAGCACCCACTTGCTCCACCACTCAGCGATGCTACCGGGACCATCTTAGCACAGAGGGCCTCCTCCAAATGATCAGCTGTAACAACTAAAAGGCATATGGGACTTAACCTCAATGTAATATTTAGTTTTTTTGCCAACATGGAGGCACTGTACTTACTATTCATTGCTGTGCATAATAAAAACTGCCTATAAACAATGAAAACTAGGGCCGTCCGGGTGGAGCAACAGATTAAAGTGCAACACTATGAAGTTATCCGCAGCCACTGCTGCCTGGGTTTGATCCCCAGCCAGGGCGCTGACCCATATGGCCCAGCAGACCTCTCCTGACCCGCCCACTGCTCCCCTCAGCAGTGTGTTTCAGTCAGTCTGCCTGTTCTGCTCCCCACTCTGTCTCTGGTGAATCCTCTCATTCCCCCGCACTTCTGGCCTGTACCCCAGCATTTCTGTGAATAAATAAATCTTTAAAAAAATAATAATAAAAACTAAAATTCCCTCTCCTGTTAGCAGGCTGCTCTTTGCAACACATAAAGTCACATAGGATGGGTTCCCCTTTCAGAGAGATTAGATATCAGAGTTCTAGGAATAAAATTGCAAAAGGATGATGGTCAGTGTTTTATAAAGTTTTGAGTTTGCCAAAAGCTACTTTGTAAAACCTCATGGACACTCATCTTAGGAGGCGACCAGGCACAGGTAACTGCTGGGCTCAGAATGAGGAGGTTCGGCCTCAGGTCCAAGTGAGGATCCCCCAAGCACGCCCGCTCTGATGAACACGTCCCCAGAGGGAGCAGGGTAGGCCTTGCCCTTCGCCAGTGCCTGGGATGATTTCTGTGTCTGCCCACAGAGCGGTAGCATCAAATTCTCACGTGGGTGCGCACTGTTCTAAGTGCCTTCAGCATTAACTAATTTAAGGGCCACAGGCTGGGAGGTGCCACCTCTCCCCACCCCCACCCCTGCCGCCATTGGAACACAGGGGTCTGATCAGGTCGAATTCTTCCTGTAGCCCCAGGTTCCAGGAAACAGGACCCTGTCTGTCCGGTTCCTTGCTGTATCCCTGCTGCCTAGAGCATAGTAGTAGCTCAATAATTTGCTAAATGAATAACTGCTGTGCAACCTGAACTGGCCCAGGAAGGGGGGTTAATAAATGCTTGAACAAATGAAGGAGGATTTGGATTTCTGGTCCCACACCGGGTGGGGGGGGCCTCAGAACCTTCCTTTGAGACAGTGGGTGGCCGGGTCAGACTTGCTCTCTGCACAGGCCGGGGCTGGAGAAGTGGGTGTAAGGCCCAAATCCCACCAAACAGCCTGGTTGGGAGAACTGAGGGTCAGTGCTGGACTGTGTCTCCAGCTGGCCTGTCTCCCAGGCACCAGAGCGACCCCTCAGTTTTCCGGTCATTGCCACCCTCCTTGACAGGAAACCACCCCCTCAACTCTCAAATCATTTTTCTCCACCCCCACTCCCCTCACCATGGCCACTGCCCAGGCTGCTGCTGCTGTTGTTCTAGCTGTTGTTCTAGCTCATCTGTGGCGGCCCCTCCTCTCCAGGGCCAGCATTCCTTGACAGCTGCCACCGACACTCCCTGCTCCATTCCCTCCCAGGGTCCCCAGCTGCCCCCAGGGGGACCTCAAGCCTCAGGGCAAACCGCTCCCAGCCCTGGGCTTTGCCTCCCCCCCCCCTCCACTGCAGACTTTCCCTGCTAGGTGGTTGGAATCCTGGACCCACCACCTCCCTGGACCCACCACCTCCCAGCCCCATGACCTTGAGGAAGTTGCTTAACTTCCCTGTACCTTAGCTTCCTTATCTGTAAAATGGAGCTCATTGCAGTACCTACCTCGTAAGGATGATGTGAGGGTTAAAGTAAAGTAATATAAAGTAAGCTCTATTTGGGTTCACAACTACTACTTGCGTATCTAACTTCCTCAGCCTGGAAGAATCCTCTCCTTTTTCATGCCTGGGGGAAATCTAATCCCTTCTTAAAAAAACATATCTCCTCCAGGAAGCCTTCTCAGCCTACCCCCCTCCTTGACCCTGCGGGGTCCAAGTTTACTGCCTTTTCGGGCAGAGCCCCCCACTCCCTATTGCAGGCGTGCTGATGGGCTGGGCACTTGCCCATCTGCCCCCAGAAGGGCCGGCCACAGGGGGCCCCAGCCGAGGCTGGTGTGGCGTGGCCCGAGACAGTGCTCCTTTCTCCGGGACAGAGGGGCAACATTTTGGAGAGAAGTGGGGAGCCATGGAGCAGCTTGGGCAGTGTTGAGGCAAGGGGAGAGGGAGTGGGTGCTGGGCAGTCCATGGGGTGGTCCTGAGGCTGGGCAGGGGGGAGCTCTGGACAGGAAGGGGCTGGGGAGCAGTGGGTGTGTGGGCAGAGTGCCTCAGCACAAATCGTCTCTTTACCTGTTTTCTCGTCCGAGTCTTCCCCGTCCTCAATTTAATATATCGTGCGATCAACTCATTTCGGCCTAGAATGGGGTAAGGAAAAAAAAATGAGGCGTGGGGGGACCATCCCTCCCTGTCCTCTTCACCCAAACCCGCCTTCCCATGGGACACAAGCAGGTAGCAAGTGAGCTGGCTCTCCCAGACCACCTCCAGGAACGGGGGGCTGCTCTTTGGGGTGGGAGAAGTGGGAGACCCCCACGTGAGAGGGTGAGAGAGAAGGCGGGACAAAGTCAGGCCGGCCAGGCGCCCCTGAAGACAGACAGGGGCAGGTGTGGGGGCCAGCAGGCTGGCCAGCCGCCCCCGCCTGTGTCCTGGAGCTGGTCACCAGCTCCAAAGCTCTGCGCGCCGACATCCGTGTGTGAGTGCAGCCTGCCCAGGGTGGCAGACGTCTCGGCCCAGGGCCCCAGGTGTGTCTGGAAGAGTTTTGGGCCAAGTTCCTGTCCTTTCTGTGGAGGAGATCCTGGCCGAGTCCCTTCCCTTTTCTGGTCAAAGGGGCAGGAGGGAGCGCGTGGTCTCTAACACGCCTCCGACCTGTGCCAAAACAGTTACCGCGTCCTTGTGCCTGTCACCCCTAAGTCACCGGAGACCAGGGCCTCTCAGGTCCTGTGAGAGCCAGGCTGCTGCTCGGTTTGGGGGTGGGGGTAGGGGTTCTGCTCAGAACCTCTGAAGGCCCGCAAGTTGCCTGGTGTTCAGAGGGTTTGGCCCCAGGAACGGGCTGCTTGGGACACACCACCAAGCATATGTCAGCATCCTCAGGGTGCACATGTCTTACCCCCAAGTCCAGGTCCCCTTTTCCCTCAGAACGGGCCACATTCTCCAAATTCTTCTTCAATGACAGAACCAGTCTCACTACTCCTCCCTTCCCGCCGGCCCCTTCCCACCCCATTCCCTCCGCCCTGTCTAAAAATACCCTTTGGGGCTGCCCCAGTCATCTGGGAGGTAGCAGCGGGCAGAGGCAGCCCCAGCCCATGGAAGGTGCTCTGGAACATGGGCCTGGCAGCAGGGCTCGGGGCTGGGGGGCGGGGGGGCGTGGCAAATGGGGCGGGGTCAGGGCTGGGGCCAACCTTACACTGGGCCCCATCACCTCCTTCTAGCACCCTGCCAGGGTTCTGGGTCCGGCAGGGGGCAGGCCAAGGGCCTGCCTCACCCAGCCATAGGAAGGATCTCGAGGAGCTGGCAAGGAGCCAGGGTTGAGCTATCCTGAAAATGCAGCTCTGGAACGACTCTGGGAGAGCCCTCTCAGGGCTGGAACAGGAGGGGACACGCCCTGGAGGAGGCAGGAGGTGGGCAAAGTGGCAGAGAAGGGCCACGAGAGCTGTGGAGTCTTGGGAGGGGCCTGAGGAATGAGCGAATGTGCTTGTCCCTCCGGCACTCTCCCCACACAGGCCGTTGTCTCAGTGTGGCCGCCCACCGCCCGGACCCCCACGCACCCTGTAGGGAACTCACCAGTGGGAGACCCTGCTTTGCTGGACTCACCCCCCGGACTCCCCACCACCTCCCAGGGGAGGGACCCTCTCCCAGGCCTGGCTTGGTGCACACTGGACTGTCGACCCAGTTTTTTGGGCCCACTGAGTCACCCCGAAACCTCCTGGCCAGTAAGGGGGAGGAGAGGAGGAGCAGTTGGGGGTGTCGAGGTGTGGGCGCGCTTTGGTGGAGGGGGCAAGCCTGGCTTGTTTATGAGGAGGATCCAGACGCACAGGCTACACGCCCAGACTCGCCCATGGCGGGCTGGCAGGACTTCGCCAAACCGGTTGGGTGAGGGGGCAGAGAGCAGGGGGAGGGGCCAGCCGGGAGGCCACCTCCCCCAGTCCTGTCCAGCGTCCTGTGCCTCCCCACACGCACCGTACATCTTGCCCTCGTCCGACAGGATGATCTTGCGGCGGCCACAGGGCGGGTAGATGGCCAGGGCCTCCTGGAAGCTCTGCTCGATGTCCGGGCTCCACACGCCCTCCGCATCGTTGTCCAGCCCCTTGTCCAGGCCCTCGGGCCCATCCTCCCGGGCCTCCCCGGGGCTGCTGCTGGCGTTCCAGCTGTTGGACGCTATTGTGCTGGTTGCTCTGGGCTCGGGGCCTGAGCCCACTGGGCAGCCTGAGCCTGGGGGACAGACACACAGGAGTTAGGGCCAGGTGGCCCCAAGCACAGGCATCTGCCACCCCCCGCCGCTGGCTCTGGACTTCTGCCCCCACAGGTGTGGGGCGGTGGTGGGGGGAAGGTGCTCCAGGCCGGAGGTGAGGTATAACAGAGGGTACTCTCATGCGGGGGTGTGTGACCCTGGGTGAGCCACCTCCCCTCTCAGAGCCTTGAATCTCAGTCCTGGGAAAGGAGCAACGGTCTCCTTGAAGTCGTGACGGTTAAAACTGAAGGCGATCACGACAGGATGCCAAGTGCAAGGCCTGGCTCCTGACGCAGTACCACGCTAGCGGCAATCGGGGTGACGGCAATAACACCTCCTGTGGACAATAACGCCTGCTGTGTGGAAGAGCACTTTCATTCTGGTCTCAAAAGCTAAAGCAAGGAGGGCAAGGGTGACACCCATTATTCAGATGAGGAAAACTGAGGCTCAAAGGCCACACGGCTGCCAAAGGCATCAAGATGGGCAGAGAGAAGGCACACGATAGGCAGGGCTGGGCACTCTGTGGCTCTCCCAGCAGCTCTGGGGAGCACTCTGCAGCCCCCCCCCATTGGGAATCTCCACTGGGGGGGACCCTGCACCCTCTGTTCTCCTCCTAGCATCAGGACCTCCTAGACTCAGGAAGGGGATGGTGCTGCCTTCCCCAAATAGATAACCCACGGGAACCCTGCCAACGAACGTAACCGGGGCAGGAACTGCCCCAGGAACTGCAAGAAGGGAGGACGCTGGTTGGCAAGGGCGCAGCGGAGAAGGTGCCTGGCCAACAGCCTTGCTCAACCCCACTCACTCCTCCATCCCACTTCCTGTTCCCGCACCTTCTGGCCCCACAGCAGCCCATAAACCACCCACACGCCCGCCCCTGCCCTGGCCCACATCACGGATGTGTAAACTCCGAGCTCCCTGCGCACGCCAGGCCGGGTTGTTAACTTAGACCACACCCAGCCAGTGCCCCCAATGTGCACATCCAAGGCTCACTCCAAACTCCCCTCAGCGTCGCCATCTGCATGCCCAACAGATACAAAGAGCTTAAGGTCCTAAGGTCCAAGGTGGCTAGATCCTAGGCTCACAGGGAAAGCAGGGCAGGGTAGAGAGGTGGGGGGCCCCCTCAGAAATCAGAGCGGGGCAGGTCCCCGTCAGTCATGAGTTCCAAGTCCTGCTGGAGGGGTGGGGGGTCTCCCTGTGGGGACATCTACTACTTAGGGAGGCTTGAAGGGGTCACCAGTGAAGTGGGATGGGGAAGGCCTGAGGGGCCTGAATATCAAATGGATGTAGAGTTTAGATTGAATATTACTACTAATGACAGCACCTGCCATATGGCAGCTACTGTTCTGGAATTTTATATACATTGACTCATTTAATCTTACAATAACCTATGGGGTATTAGTGTTCCTACTTTACAGATGAGGAAACCAAGGAACAGAGACGTTAAGCAATTTGCATGAGGACACAAAGCTAGTAAATGCTAGAGCCAGATTCTGGACCCATGCAACATGGCTTCAGCCTCTTAAGTGAGGGGACGTGTCTGAGAAACCCCATCACCTGTGGTAGAGGGGACCTGTCATGTGTGTGCTCAGTAGGGTCCAAGCCAGGACCCCTTAGCCCAAGTGGCCGTAGCCACTTCAGGGACCCAAGTACTGCTAGAGCCCTTTCCGTGAGGCCTCAGAGACCACCAGGGTAGCTCTCCCCATGCAGAGACAGCCAGGGAGGGCGCCCACTCTCCTGAGGACACTCCTCCACTCCCCTCCTCTTAGCCTGTCTCACCCCACAGAGCTGTGCCTGGAAGCCCAACCCCTCCCTGACCCCTGAGGCCAAGCACTTGAGGCAAAACCGTGAGGGAGACCAAAGTATGTTAGTTGACCAGGAAGGGGACCTGGGGGACCCACAACTCCTATTTTGAGGTGGTTGAGATACGGGGCCTTCCCTCAGGTCTGACGCTGCTGTCTGCTGTCTGAGAGGAGGAAGAAGAGGGATTACAATGAGTTAAGACCCCACCCAGAGTCCTCAACCCACTTTCCCCTCCAGTCCTTTCCTGAGCCTCCCTAGGAGGAGAGGGGGCCTAGCGCATGGGGGGCCTTGGCCGTCCCAGACTTTTAAAGGCAACTTTCCTGCCTCCCCCAAGTCTCTGCCCGCCTCCCCTCATCCAGGCGGTGGCCCCCCCTTCTCGGGGTGATGTCAGCCCCGCCCCGCCCCCCGCAGGAGCACTGTGGCCAAATATGGCGAACACAGCCGCGCTTGGGAGCTGGGACAGTCTGGGGGGGGCGGGGCTGGCCGGCCCCTGGCTGGGACCGCTGGCAGCTGGTGAGGGGGAGGGGAGTGGAGGGGGCGGCTGCAAGGGCGAGTCAAGGAAAGGCTCAGGACCACCACCCTTGTGCTGGTTCCTACCTACACGTATGACTCACTTTCTAGGGATACTCCTGTGGGCTTAGACACCCACACAGGGGCTGCAGGTGACCCCCACCCCACACAGCCATGCGCAGGAGCCATGCGTGCAGGTATGCTGTGTGGGGGCCTGGGCTGACATCCAGAAAGGTAATCTGTACCCCCAGGCTGAGGCCCACCATGGGCTTTGGCAGGCAGGCAGGCAAGGTGCAAGTGGGGTCTCTGCCCCCCATCACCCAAGTTAAGGGGAGGTTGGAGGAAGCTGGATTGGATGCTCTGGCCTCCTAAATTATTGCTATGGGATGAGATGGAGATCAGCATGTGCCCACCCTCTTTTCCTTACACCCCCAAATCAGCGAGGGGGCAGTGAGGCTGGCAGTGGGGGGCAGAACAGTTCCCCAGGAAGCTGTAGGGCCAGACTGATGAAAGTGTGGGACTCAGGCAAGGTGGGGAGGAGGACTCCTGAAGCAGGAGGGGCTAGAAAAGGCAGGCCTCCAAGACCCCCAAGATGGCAGCCTCTGCCCAGGGTAGGGCTCACTCCCTGGCCAGAAGGTCTGTGTGTGTGTGTTGTGTTTGGGGGGAGGGAAGCTCCCACATCACTTTTAAATTCTCGCCCAGGTATCTAGAACCTCAGCCCTGCTGGGCAGTAACAGGGGTTGGGGCTTGAGACAGACTGAGAAAGGGGGCCAGTGAGGGGGGAGAGGGGAAGACAGACCCAGAGACAAGGCTAGAGACAGGGGTGTCCCAACTGGTCAGATACAAGAAACTGGAGGGTGAACCCTGGGGACAGCCCCAGCGGGAGAGGCAGGAGGAGCGTGAGGACTGGCAGAGGGCTGGCTGCCGGAAGTTCATCCACAGACAGACAGAGCCAAAGTGGGGGTGGGGGAGGAAACGGGGGTGGGGGTACAGGGAGAATGGTCATGATAATCAGACTCAGAAAGATAGACAGAGACCAAGATCCAGAGAGATGGAGACAGCTGCGGGTGCGCCAGGACAGGCAGGGAATAGCCAATAAACCCAGATCCCTCAGGCAGCCAGAGGGAGTGGGACAGAGAGAGCCAGAGGTGGAGGAGGGGGCGAAAAGGGGAGCCGTGCAGGTGTCGGGCGCTGGGGCCAGGCTGGGACACATTCTGCCCATCCGCGGAGACCTACCTGCCCGCTGCACAGCCGTTATCCCAGCAGGCCGCAGCTCTCCCATGGGCCCTGCCCTCACCTACCAGCCACATCTCATCAGCCCACCGCCTCCCCTCACCCAGGGCCCACAGCCTCCTGAGGTCAGAGGTGCCTCTGGGTGGCCTGGATGGGATCTAGGAGGCTGGGTGAGCAGGCTTTGGGCCCCTGGGGGCGGGGGGGGGGCTGGGGGTAGGGTAAAGGGGGTATCTAGCTGCCCACTCCCCTCCCTGGGGCCAAATTTGCTGGAAGAACTGGCTGGACAGCTCCAGAGATGGAGGTCAGAGCTGGGGTTACTGGAGAGGGCCTAGACCCCTAGATCCCTATCCCCACAGGCTCTGTGGCCTCCAGACCGCCCAGCCCTCCCTGTCTCTGTCAAAGGGAAGGAGAGGCAAGCCAGAAGTGTGGGTTTCCCCAGGGCCTCGGCCTGGGTAGGGGACCGCAGACGCAAGTGGGGCCCCTCCCTAACTCATATTCCCTCCCCTCCCCTCAGCCTCACCGGGAGGATGAACTGAACCCGGTGACCCGACTGGGTCTAGCCGCTAGTAGCCGTCCACGCTTACTGGGCACCCAGCCTGCCAAGTACTGGCGTGCAGAGTGAGAACATCGCTCCAAGTGTGGGAAGATTAGTGAAATCAGCAGTTTTATCCCAAATTCCCCACCCCCCACACAACCTGGGTTAGGCTGACCAGCCAGGGAGGTGAGGATGGGGAGGACAGTTGATGAGGGAACCACCCCAGCCCCCTCTGTTTTTCCCTCCTTCCTCCCCACCCACCCCCACAGTGGGGCCAGCTGTTCTCCAGCTGCCAGACTTCCAGCCTAGAAATGGCCACACTCTGGTTGGGATTGAGAGCAGGGTGGGATGGGGATGGTGGCTGCCTCCCTCACCTTGGCCCAAGGACCCCTGAGGACCCAGTCTGCGGGGCCACACCCTGCGAGGCTGGGGAGGGATACCACCTCCCTGGAGCAGGGTCCAGATTTTTACAGGAGGAAGCAATTTGCAGAGCCCGCTAGGAGGGAGGTGGGGTCCTCCTTCCCTCTCCCCAGCTTATTAATGTGCTTCCAATTTGGGAATCAAGGCTCTTGGGGCCCCACCCACCCCCACTACTTGGGGCACAGGCTTTCAGGGAGCAGAGGGGGTAGGCTTCTTTCTAGAGAAGGAAGCTTAGAAGCTTCTCCTCCAAGCTCATCCGCACTGTCACAGCCCCCCAAACCTCCTCAGGGTAGGAGGGTAGAGACCAGAGCCCACAAGCCTCCTGCAGAGATGGGCCCAGTGATCCCTGCAGTCTCTGTCCTGCCCTTCAACTGGCCCTATCCAGGGGGGCCAGGTAACCAGAGTGAGGCAGGCAGCGGGGTCAGGGATGCAGCCAATGGCTAACTGGGTCCGCGGGTGACACAAATCTCAGTTAACTTATCAGTGGGCCCTATGTATCCTGATTCACCCACGAGCTGCCACTGCTTAGTGTCCATATCACAAGAGTGACACTGTCATCTATAAACACCACGCTGGCTCCGCCCCCCCCACAAGCCTCTCACAGCGACTGTCCCTGCCTCTCTGCTTTCTGCTTGTTTTTAATTTTTGTACTGTGATAAAATAGCCATACTAGAAAATGTACCATGTTGACTACTTTTAAGTGTATAGTTCAGCGGCATTAAGTACCGTCTGCTGCTTTGTTTTTAACTGTTGTGTTTTTCATGGACCTCCAGGGTAAGTGTAACGGGGTCACAGGCCCCCAAATCTGTCACCGAATCCCACACTGCCTCTGGCGCAGCCCTGAAGGGTGTCACCACACTGTCCTGTAGTCCCAAACAGCCGAGATAGCGCGCACCCACAGAGGTAGTCTCAGTCACACCCACGGGCGCCCTGACACGCGGCCCTACGCGTGCAGAGTTTCTTTCTCACACTCAGCTTCACCTACACACCTAGTTCACACTCAGCCTGTCCCTACAGTGTCCCAGGACGTAGTCAGTCATGTCCCAGAGGTCTCTCCTGGGCACACACACCGTGACGGAACAACCTTTCTCTCACACGGTGTCATGGGTGGACACACACAGACTGATTTGTACAAACCTGACGTCATCACCTACGCTTTACCAGCAGGCACACGTCACAGAGACTGTCACTCATCCTGCTCCTGACACACACGGCATCACGGGCGCGGGGGCCCCCGGAAACACAGCACCTCGGATCCAGGCGTGTCTCACACAAGCTGGTGCTGCTGTCAGGCAGCTTCTTTCACAAGTATGACCTGCGCAGTGCTCACACACACGGGGCTCGCCACACGCGCGTGTCCGTTCCCGTGGCTGCCGCGTGGCACCCCGTGCCGTCACGCAGCGCCACAGCTTCCCCCCATAGAGGGATGTGAGGGGGTCACAGTGTCACCTGCAGCTTCTCTCATGCCTACGGCCAGCCTCACATGCAGTCACATCCAAGCTGGTTTCACCCGGTTCCCACACACGCACACCCACCCTACACAATGCCCCACTCAGTGTCTCTCACCCGCGCCCAGTGTCGCACACTGTTGCACTCTCGTTTCCCTCTATCACTTCCTGTCCTTTTGGGCCTGGCAGGGAGCACAGGAAACAATCAGCACTCGAGGAAACCTAGGCTCAGGCTCTGGGGACGGTGGGGGGGACTGGGCCTCTGCTCCCCCC